TGATTTTAAGCTATTAGAAAATGATTCAATGTAAAAATATAGCAAAAATATAAAATAAAAAATAACTACCATTTTCTCTTTATTGTTATATAATGGCCAGAGGTACTGAAACTCAAAAAAGAACTCAAGTGAAGGCTTTAAAATGATTATCAAGCCTTTTTTTGTGAATTATTAAATTTATAAGATTACATTTTTTTTTTAAAGAAAAAAAAAAAGTGATCGTTTGTTTAAATATGTAATCACAAAAAAATTTTTTTATTATTAATATGCATAGACTATGTCAAAAAAAAAGTAAATCAATCATAAATCATTTGTATCACATACTGCATTGCTGCGCTATAAGGGTTTATTTTTGATTTATCGCAGAAATAATTCTTTTTAAGATATATATTACGAAAACTATTGGACAATGTTAATGGACATAGTCTAATAAAATATTGGAAATTGTGGACTTAGTCCAAATTCCATTAATGTCCAATTGCAATTGGACTTGAACTGGACTAGTCCAATTAGTCCAATTCCAATATTCCAAATCGTATCAATTGGACCTTGTTCAAAGCCATCACTGCAGATGGTTCCCTTGTGGGCTTGGGCACTCTTGCTATGAGAATGAGTATGGTTTGATTACAAACGAACCCATGTTCACCTATAGTTTCCTTTTATCTGTATTTGTTACTATATTCCCTACATCTTTAATTGCAGAACTTGTAGCAATATTTACTGCTATCCTCATTATCCCATAAAATTGTCATATCACGATCATGACAGATTCACAAGTTGTGATTAGACAATTCTATAATTTCAAAAGAATTTTGTGTTTTTCTTCATCCACCTGACCCCTGTTCAAAATTAATAACTTCTCGATTTGGCTGAGCCTATTTGAAGTTATCAAATCACAGTACCTCAACATACACCTCTGTAAAGTCAAAGCACATTTAGGAAATACTTTGAATGACAAAGTTAACCAACTTGCAAAGAACACTTATGGATCAGTAGCGCTTTGATTTGATCTCTCTTACAATAACTACTACTACTATAATATGATAATTTGGAGATTTCAATTCCTATACGTCTCTTTATGAAGAATATTATATAATCTATTTTGTTTGATAAAATACAACACCTCTATGTGATAGGAAAACATCAACATTTGAACATTAACTGGACTGCCACAAGTTTCTACATTAATGATAATGTTGCTGCAACACATATTTCATACGAAGCTTTAGTAGTTCGCAAGAAAAAGATCCAAAGGCTTCTAGAAATGCTTTCTACTATAAAAATTTTAAAAAAAAGTCATCCTGACATCTTTGATCAATTATAGCTTTGCGTTAAATGTGATAGTGCAGAGGAAATCTTCTCTCATGTTTGGGAATGTTCAATTACTTAGAATCGAATGAAGAATATCATACAAGACTCGCAATATATCTTACAAGAATTAATCCAAGACAATGGTTCAACTATGAACATCTCTGATTTACACATATGGTATATGTCCACTGAATCTTCCTCCTATCTGCTAGCTCTGATAAAAGGAATGATTCCTCAAATACTATACAAATTTATTTATAATGCTATAGGTTTAAAGGACCTTACTAATGCGACGCTTTCAGCCTTTATGTATTACATTTTCGAATAAACACAAGTTATATGGACTGACTGGTGTTCACATCAAGTTACTTTTGAGAAATCTCACTCCATCAATTTAAAAACAAAGATTGAAAATACCGTTACAACAGGATATCATCTTACAAGCTCCACTCCCTCTGCAAACATTAATGACTTCATCAACAAAATAGTTTGATATGGATCCCACTGGTTGAATTTTTGGTGTTGTGATGGCCAAGCTCTTTCTCATTTAGTAAAGTACTGGAATATGATATTTTTAGCTTAGGTTAAGAATAGATTCTGGGGAAATACAGGGTCAGTCTTAATTTAGTTTAGATTAGATAGAGATTTTTGTATTTTCTTAAATTTGTATATTTTAATCCTGTTATTTGTACTTTGAATTTAATAAAGATCATGCAAAACTACTGCATTTAAAAAAAAAAAAAAAAATTTTTATTTTTTAAATGATAAATTTTAATATATCTGCTATATATAATTTGATTGGTTGACCTGTCAGGTCAGATTTACTTGATCTGACTCAACCTGATTCAAAAAAGGAAATTTTTCTTATTTATTCATTAAATAATATCAAAAAATATTTAATATAAAGAGATTGGCGTCCCTAGTTCAGTTGGCAACAACTGAGCTCCTATTGTGGGTTACACTGCAATAGCCACAGGTTCAAGTC